TTCCCATAGGGACCAAGATGACACGAGATGGGAGGAGAGGGACTCCCCAGCTGAGCCAGAAACAAGAGCCAACAGGTCGCCAGAAGGGGAAGTGCCAAGACTGAGGGACTTCCCAAGAAGGAACACAGAAGACAGGGCTTCCAGCCCATCACTGGTCTCCAAGGACTGCTGCCCACCTGCCCTTCCCGTGGCCTCCTCCCCAAGCTGCAGCTCCCCCCACCCGGTCCTCACCGTGACTGTCTGTGGCTCCCCATTGCGCCTTCAGAGAAAGCCCTCAATTCCTTCGCTCAGCATTCCAAAGATGTCAGCACGTGTCCCCGACATTCCCGCTGCCCCTAGTCTTCATCCCGGACTCCGGGTACTCCAGGTTTCCGGCACCTGGACCTCTTCACCACAGCCCCGTGCATCTGGCTTCCTTCCACGCCTTTGCACCTGCTGTTTCAGCCACCAGAACTCTCTGATCTCTCTGTCAGCTTCCTATTCAGCTTCAAAAGCCAGTTCGAATGTCATCCCCTTCATAATTCTTTGGCCTCTCCAAGGCATGTGAGTCACTCCTTCCTCTAGGGTCCATCCTTCCCCCAGAGCACACCACTCATGGTGTTTTTCGCAATGTTCTGAGCAGTTTCTAGGCAAGAACCACATGTTTCTTGGTGACCACTGAATGTCAATGGCTAACCAGTGTCTGACACATAGTAGGTGCTTAAAGCACTCATTACATGAGTGACCAAATGCAAGGAAAAGGTTTCTGGCCTTCCCTGGTTGTCCAGTGATTAAGAATCTGCCTGCCAATGCAAGGGACATGGGTTCGATCCCTGGTCTGGGAAGATCCCACAACGCCGCAGGGCGGCTAGACCCAGGAGCCACAACTACTGAGCTTACGTGCTGCAGCTACTGAAGCCAGAAAGCCCTAGAGCCCGTCCTCCGCGGTAAGAGAAGCCGCCCAGTGAGAAGCCCGTGCAGCAGTGAAGACGCAGGCCAGCCCAAACTAAATAAAATTACAAAAGAAAGAAATCATCACAGAGGGACAGTGGGTTGCACAGGGCCACACAGTGAGTTTTTACTTAAAGCAGCGCTCTCAGGCTGGGGAAGAGCTCCAGCCTGGTGGCCCCGGAGCAGGAAGGAGGCTCGGCCCCTAACTCACAGTGGGACCCTGGACTCGTCTTCCCTCTGGGCCTCAGTTTCCTCATCTGTAGAATGGGGGCACTCACTCTGGCCTAGATGAGGGAGCGTGAGGCTGGTGCCGGGCACACTGGAGCGTGTGAGTGATGGGAATTGCTTTTTTACATATTTGGGGGAGGGAGGTGGTAGCAAAGGGCAGGTTGCAGGTGTCTGAGGACAGGTGTGCCGAGACACTGGACCTGCAGCTTAGTCAGTAGCTGCTGAACATGAGGGGAAAGGCCTTCCCAGCTGGGGCCACCTCTCAGCCTGTAGACCCTTTTAGTCTGCCTGTTTCTCCCAGGTGGGCTGTGAACCCATGTCCATGCAGGTTCTCCAAGCCCAACTGGCCTTTCTCTATCGGAACGTCTCTAGCCTGCGCAACCTCTCCCAGCCGAGGTACATGCCCTGCTCCCAGCAAGCTTTTCCTGCCTGTGCCATCTTGATTTGCCCTCCACCATGCTGGGTGACCCCACCCAGACTGTGCCAGCTATCTCAGCTCCTGTAGCCCCACCTCACCCCAGCCCCATTCACCCCACCACGCCCCACCAGGAGAGGTTGGTTGTAAGGCAGAGAAAAAAAAGGATGCTTTGCTCCATGGCTGTTTGAGGTCATGAGGTGGGGGGTGGGTACGGGGCTGGCAACCTCCCCTTTATCCTCATCCTTGCCCAGCAAGCCCCCACCAGCCTGCCTGGCCCTGACCAAAATAGACTGGGGGGTACTGATTCATACTGAAGAAAGTCTGCAGGCCCTCGTCCCAGGCTGCATCATCAAGCCCTCTTGGCAGATGAGGAAATAGAGGCCCAGAGAGGCCCCAGAGGCTTGCCCAGAGTCACACAGCAAGGAGGGCCGGGGCCTGAGCAGGGAGTCAGGCTGGTGTATTTGGCCCACATCCCTCGGGACAACTGGAGTGGCCCGATCCTTCCTGGGGGCTGGGTGGCGGGGGTTGGGGGGGCTTTGGCAGGTGTCCTGGCTACCCGAGGGCCCTCAGAGGGGCCTCTGCCCACACCCCGGGGAATATTTTCAGGTTGTTTCAGAAGTTCCAAGTTTACTCAGAGCTCTCATTTGAGCAGTGGTAAAAAGTCCCTTTGGCGGGGCGCCAGGGCGAGGAGTGGAGGCGGGGGCACCTGTGAGCCATGAAATGGGGGTGGGGCTCCTCTCTGCTCCCGCGCTTCCCCTGCCGCTCTGGGCTGGTGTGCAGTGAGGGGCAAGGGAAGGAGAAGCAGGTGAGGAAGGGACTGTGATGAGGGGAAGACCCCTACTCCTTGAGGAAGGATTCCTTCCCATGTCTTCACAGTTTTCTTCTTTCTGCTTGTACATGACTCCCTGGGTGACCCTAGAAAACCTCCACCCCTCTCAGAGCCTCAGTTTCCCCATCTGAGAAAGGGGGGAATAGAGTCATGATAAGAATTATCATTCATTGAGGGCTGGGTATATGTCAGAAGATATACCAAGTGTTAATAATGAGTAATAATGAGGAAATTATTGCCAATGATACTTAAAGTAAAACATAATAGCTACTATTTCTTGTGAACCACTGCAAGACTCTTTCCGCTCATAACTGCACAGGCTCTGTCTGAGTATCACTGAATACCCAGGACCTAGGACAGTGTTCCAGAAACACATGTTGAGTAAAACCTCACAGCAAACCAAGATAGGCAATCTCATCTCTATATAACAGATAAGGACACTGAAGGTTCAGAGAGGTTAAGTGACTAACTCCAGGTCACAAAGGTACTAAGTAATGGAACTGGGACTCGAACCTAGGTCTGACCATTTCCAAAGCCCCAGATCACGATTGGCAGCATTAGTGAGCCAGATCCAAGGCCCCCCAGTGGACTGCAGAGACCTCCCAGCTGTGTGGAGAAGCCAGGCCATCATTCTGACAATTCTGTAGGCACTGGCTTCTCTCACTGGGAGGAAGGATGCTCTTCCTTTCCTTTCATTCATGTATTTATGAGGGCCCAGGGCGGTTCTGATGCTGCAGAGAAGCTGGTCCCACTCAAAGCTTCCAGTGGCCTGCTTCACCTGTTCTGTCTTCTCTTAAGCTGGCCCCCTCCTCCTGAAAGCCCCCTCCCTCCATTTAGCCTCCAATCCCCACCTTTAACTCCCTTCTCTTCTTTGCTGGGCAGGTGGGAGCCTGAAGCACCTGGGATGCATCCTTCATCTCGCTCATCTGTCTCTCCTGGCCTGGGGTCTCAGCCACCTTCTAACATAAGGGCTCTTAGTTTCCTCTTCTACGAGGCTGTAAGGTTCTAGACTTCCTGCCAGGTGTGGGGCAGGCAGGACCAGGATTTCTGCTGAAACCACCAGGGGAACAAGTGATCAAAGCTCCCCCTTTGGGGTCTGCCTAACCCCCTTGATTCAATGCCCCACTCTCAGAAGGTGCCCCAGGCTATGACTCTTGCTTTTTTGCTATCCTGTCTAGCAGGTTGTCATCTTGGTGTTCCAAACCGAGCTCTGCATCTTATGGTCACAGCTATCTTGGCAAGATTCTCTCCACTGAGCATCAGTCTCCTCATCTGTGAAATGGGCTGAAAGAGGCCAGCAGCTTCACCTGGTGTCATGAGGATGATGGGAGAGCTTCATGCGCCTGTCACATGCTGAGCACCTGGGAAGACCACAACCCAGGGGGCTGAAGGAGGCAAGACTGCAGGTTCCTGAGTGGGTCACTGCACCTTCCATGACTCTTGGAAACTGGCCTTTCTCTTCCATGGGCTCCAGGTTTCTTATGACGCAAATTCTACCCCCTGGAAGACCCCTAGACAACAGCCTTTCTATTTCACACCCTCAAATCCTCACAACCAGATCTATGAAGATGGAGCCGCCATTCCGCCCATTTCTCAGATGAGAAAACCGAGGCTCCATGAAGTTAGAAAAAAGCAGAGAGACTCACTGAAGTTCACCCAGCCAGAAAGCCACATGGCTGGATGTTGAACCCTCCAGGTTTTCCCCCACTCTACCATGTGCTTCTAAAAGCCCCATGCTTTCCCCCTGGGGAAAGCATATGTTCCTCCCAGGAGGAACCCCTGACATTTTAATGCCTTCTCCCCTGCCCTGGGTCCTCTGCATCCTAAGTTTCCCTCGAGGCGTCAACTCCCCCTCTGCCAAAAGTGTGTCTGCCTGTTCCTTCCTTCCCACCTTTTTCTCAAGTCAAAATCCAACCCATTCTTCAAGGCTCAGCCTCCCCAAGCCTCCTCACCCCACTCTCCTCCACACACACAGAACCAGCTTGCCTCTCACCAGCCGCCCATCCCCTGTGTTTTCTTGAGAAAGGAGACAGCGTGGAGGGTAGGACCAGCCTCCGAGTCACCTGCCCACCCAGCTACGCAATGGTTGAGTCACCTTGGGAAAACCACTCTATTTCTCAGAGCCTCAGTTTTCATCTTCAAAATGGGGACACCAACCCATCTTAAAGGATTTAGACAAAATAAAGGAGATAAAACACAGAACCTGGTACAAAGTCAATGCCTCCTCCCTTCCCCACACTGACCTGATCACAGTCATGCCCACCTCTGCCCAGCTCAGCTGCCCAGAACCATGGTGATGATCACATCATGTTCAGTCTGGAAACAGCATGCCCTCCCCAGCCCCTGCCAGTTGAAGGCTTCTTTCCACCAGCTCAGGGGGTCATCTCAGCCATGCCTCTGCCTCTGTGTCCCTGGGGCCTCCTGCGGATCTACAGAAAGGCACTCCAGTCACCCTGAGCTGGGCCGAACAAGAGACTCCAGCTTAACTTTGCTGGTCTCACCGTCCCCAGGTGTGATGAGAGCATAGGACGTCCTCCCCGGCAGAGGAGGTCCCCTCCCCGCCTGACCCCAGAGCGGTGGCTGGAAATGAGTTACCTGCTGTTCTACTTCTTTCTCAGAAATCCATTCTCTCTGGGCTCCGGGCAGTCCGGTGGGCTCCCAGGGGTGGCAGCTGGGCTTGGTGTTGGGGTGATGGGGAGGGGAATGGGGGTCTGGGAGAACAGGCAGGGGTCTGGGGTGGGAAGCTGCAACCTGCCCCAAGCCACCAATCAGACAGCGCCCGACCCGTCACCCCCGCGGATGGCAGGTGGGCTCCGGGCAGGCGGGCCAGGCAAAGGCGACCATCAGTTACATCCCAAAGAGGTCACACTGGAACAGAAGGCTGAGGCTGCGGGACAGGGGCCGATCCGCTGCACCGGGGGTGAACAGAGAGCGGATCAGGGCTGCGGCCACGCGGACGGACAGAAGTCAAGCGAAACAGGCGGTTGGTCAGCCAGGCAGACAGACAGGCAGGCAGGCGCAGGCAGACAGCTGCGCGGCTGTCAGGCACACTCAGGAAGAAGCGGGCAGACCGTCAGACCCCGAGCCCTCAGTCACTCGGCAGAGACGCCGGCGGGTCCGCCAGAGGCGGCGCCTGCCGTCGGAGCCCCAGCCGCGTGCGCAGGGTGGGGAGGAACGGGAGGATGTGGTGAGCCGCTCCCGCAGGCCCCGCCCACGGAGCGGCCGGCTCCGCCCCCGGGGAGGGAGAAAGAGGTGGGAGGGGGCCGGGCCCCCGGGGGCAAGGTCCACTGCTCCCCAAAGGTCGCCTGTTAGCAAGACATTTAGGGCCACCGGGGTGATGTCTGCCTCCCTTGGACGGTGACATCACCCCCGCAGGCCTCACGGTCTTGACCTTTAAGGCAGGCGGGGAGGTGGTGAGCCGCCGCTTCTCACAGATGTAGAAACTGAGGCTCCCAGGGTGCGGAGGTGGCAAGGCGAGATCTGGGAGGTCCCCGGGGGTCTCAGCTCAGCGAGAAGCATGAGAGCCCAGAGACCTGCCCAAGGTCCCGTGGAGAAGCGGTGCTTGCCCACTGGCCGGCTTCGCTCAGGCACCCTGCTTGCCTGGCCCAGCAGAGGTCTGAGTTGGGGACCCTTCCCTCCCCACTTCTCTGCCCCTATTTGCTTTGAATCCAGCTTCCTGCTTCAGGGAGCAGGATGTTATCTGCAAGCCTCTGAGGAGACAGAGCCTTTGGGCAGGTCATATCACCGCTCTGAAGGCCTCACTTTGCCCATCTGTCCAATGGGGAGACCTAGACTTTAATACATGGGAACTCAGGAAGGAAATAGTGAAAAGAAATTCTCAAGAGAGTTTTCATCTTGCCGACAAGCCAGGAGCCCTCCAGAGGGTCAGATGTCTCTGGCTGATGTTTAAGAGACCTGGGGATAAAATTCCACAACTTTGCACCCAGCAGCCTCAAAAGAGAGCTGATGCTACCACAACTATTACTGTCAGTATCAAGCTCTTTTTTTTTTTTTTTTTGGTCAGTATCCTGCATTTTTTTTGGCACTAGGTCATCTCATTTATTCCACAAACCCTGTGAGGCAAATAAGATTATTCCTATTTTACAGCGGGAGACACCAAGGCTCAGAGGGGGAACGTATGACATTAGCAAAGAAGTGTCCTAGATGGGATGTGAACCTGGGTGGATGGGATTCCTAAGTCTGCACCAGGTTGTGGAAACAGGACCGAAACATTTCATCCTTGAATTACCAGGGTGGATGGGGGCTGCTTTGTGCTATTTTGATGACACAGGTGGGCTCAAATGCACATGCCATCTCCCCCCAAGCTGACTCATTTTTGGGAAACAATTTGTAGCTAAGCCACATGATCACTCCAGAGGAAAAGAGAAAGCATCTTGTTATTTATTCTTTTTTTTTTCTTTTTCTAACTGTTTTTGAGGAAGTTAGAACAAATTCCCCTGTGGCTGATTTGAAGGATGTTGGTCCTGCAGAGATTCTCTCCCTCACAACCAAAATATCTTGTATTCTCTGGAGCACATATTTTGTGAGGAAGCCAACTTTTCTTTTTCTCTTGATCTTCAGGGTGAGTTTTCTGATACCGTAGATGTAAGATCAAGAGGAGTAATAATAAATTTTTTTTTTAAGCAAAAAAACCCAGCTAATATTTGCTAAAAGCTGATTCTACCCAGGGTTATAAGGACCTTAAAGATGTATCATCTCAGACTTCCCTAGTGGCCTAGTGGTTAAGAATCTGCCCTGCAATGCAGGGAACACAGGTTCGATCCCTGGTTCGGGAAGATCCCACATGCAGTGGAACAGCTAAGCCCCTGTGCCCCAACTATTGAGCATGCACACCTCAAACCCGTGCTCCACAACAAGAGAAGTCACAGAAATGAGAAGAATACACAACTCTCTCACCACAACTACAGAAAGCCTATGGGCAGCAAGGAAGACCCCGTGCAAGCAAAAATAATGAATATGTTAATTTTTAAAGATGTATCATCTCACTGAAATCTCAGAAGAAAGTAGTTACTCTTACCATCATTGACATCATCCTCCATTTACAGACAAGGAAACCAAGGCTCAGAGAGGTTAAGTGACTTGTCCAAGGTCACACAGTTGGTGCTGGCAGGGTTGGGATCCGAGCTCAGTCTTTCAGGCTCCTGAGTTTAAATTCCTGGTCACTCACCAAGTTGCTTTTGGATGTTTGTTAACCCAAGGTTGGTCAAGCCCTCCTACCCTCCCTTCCAACTGCCTGCCTTCCTCTCTCCCCTTCTCTGCATCCACACACTCACCCACTACCCACTCTTCCCTTCTAGGCACACACACAAGCAACCATCCATTCTCTCCTTCCAGCCTTCTCTCCACCAACACCGAACATGCCCTTGGCTATGGATGTGACATATTCTCCAGAAATACATACGAGTGATGGCCCTCCTGGAGCCTTGTATTCTGGTGGGGAGAGACAGACAAAAAGAAGTAATGGAGGGACTTTCCTGGTGGTCCAGTGGCTAAGAGTCCTCCTGGCAGGGGATGCAGGTTCCATTCCTGGTCTGGGAACTAGGATCCCACATGCCACGTGGCCACTAGGCCTGCACTTTGCAACTACTGCACAGCGAAGAGCCCTCATGCAACAATGAAAGGAGATCCTGAGTGTGAAGGAAGGTCCAGTGTGTGGCAACTAAGACCCAACACAGCCAAATAGATAAATTGATTAATTAAAAAAAGAAGTAATGGATAATCTAAATGCAAACTGTTGTTCAGTCGCTAAGTCATGTCTGACTATTTGTGACACCATGGACTGCAGCACACCTGGCTTCCCTGTCCTTCACCATCTCCCGCAGTTTGCTCAAATTCATTTCTGTTGAGTCAGTGACACCATCCGACCATCTTGTCCTCTGTCATCCCCTTCTCTTCCTGTCCTCAGTCTTTCCCAGCATCAGGGTCTTTTCCATTGAGTTGGCTCTTTACATCAGGTGGCCAAAGTATTGGAGCTTCAGCTTCAGCATCAGTCCTTCCAGTGAATCTTCAGGATTGATTTCCTTTAGGATGGACTGGTTGGATCTCCTTGCTGTCCTAGGGACTCTCAAGAGTCTTCTCCAACACCATAGTTCAAAAGCACCAATTCTTCAGTGCTCAGCCTTCTTTATGGTCCAACTCTCACATCCGTACACGACTACTGGAAAAACCATAGCTTTGACTCTAGGACCTTTGTTGGCAAAGCAATGTCTCTGCTTTTTAATACACTTTCTAGATTTGTCATCGCTTTTCTTCCAAGGAGTAAGCAGATTAGAGGTCCAAAGAGTGGCATGGAAGGGGCACTGTGGATGGTCAGAAATACCCCAGCCGTAGGGGAAGCATTTTAGGCAGAAGGCCCTGCAGGGGCAAAGGTACTGAGAAGGAAGGAGTGTGGCTCACTCCAGGAATTTGGGATCAGTGTGGGGAACAGAGTGATCAAATAAAGGAATGCTAGGAGGCGGAGTCATAGGAGTCCTACTGGCTGCACACCACCTGGCGTGAAGAGGTAGCTTTGGTTCCAAGGGCAATGGGATGTCATCTGAGGATTCATCATAACAGTAGTTTAATCTGATTTACATTTTCAAAAGAGTGCTCCAGCCTTGACTTAGGGAGTGGGTAAGATGTAGCAGGGGCAACTTAATCCCTAGTGTTTAAAAAGTAGATGCTTGAGAGAGTACTTAAGAAGCTGTGGCCATCATCTTTCAGTCAAATGCATATGTGTGGGACCCTTCAAGTTCTACTGGCAGTAACCAATGCAGATACAAGAATGGGGCAGTAGATGATAAGAATTATCTATATTGTCGTGGGGATTATTGAAGAACTGAGAGAGCAATTTAATACAATTAATAGTTCGAATGCCTTCTTGGTCTTCAAATTGTGACTGCCTGCATAAAATGCCAACTTCTGCTATCATTATTCTGCTAATCAACAATCTTCTTTCAATATGAACACCATTTTCCTTATTTCAATATAATCTTTTTTTTTCCCCAAAGAAAATGTTTCTGTTATTATATTTCTTTTAAAGTAGATGTTTTTAGGGACTTCCCTAGCAGTCCAGTGGTTAAGACTCCATGCTTCCATTTCAGAGGGTGTGGGTTCAATCCTTGGTCAGGGAAGTAGGATCCCACATACCATGAGGCATGGCCAGAAATTTTAATAATACTAATAATACATTTTAAAAATTTAAAAAGTAGATGCTTTTGGAGGTGGAAAGTTGGCAGCTGCGTGTCTTTTGGGGTGAACCTGAGTTCCCTCAGAAATAGACCTATGTTGAGGGAAAGGTCCCTTTAAGGGCCCTCTTTGGGCCTGTGCCTGTCTGATGAATGTGGCCTCAGAGGTCTCAAAAGAGGGTGGAGTAAGATCTCTCAACACCCCTGAGTATTTAAAGCTGGTCAATGGGGGGGAAGTGGTTAAATTTGCATTTCAGCCAAGGGGCCCACTGGGAAAAAAATAATTGAGACAACCCCTCCTTCAACCCATTTCCTCTTTTTTATTTTTATTTCGGCAGTTTTATTGAAGTATAATTTACATAGCATCAAATTCTGCCATTAGAAGTGTACCGTTCACTGAGTTTTAGTAAGTTTGCTGAGGTTTGGAACCATCTAATCTTTTGCACATTTCCAAAAAGGCTCCTTGTTCCTATTTGCAATCTCATTCCTACTCTCAGCCCCAGTGATCTCTTTTCTGTCTCTACTGA